CAGTATTTTGAGTTCATGCTGTATATGTCACAGAGCAGAATGCACATATTCAGTTCCTCTGTAAACAAGCCAGCCTCACCAGAATGCATTTAATGGTTTTAGCAGCTATGAAAGAACCAAGAAATCGCCCGACATCCCTAATTTTCTAAATCTAAAGAAAACCGGTAAAACGACTGGCTGTTGGCTGCCTTTGTGCATCCACTGTATGTTGGCGTCTGTGGTTCGGATTGTTTCTCTCGCTCTCTTTCAGACTCTGAATCAGCAGGTCCCTTCGGTAAACAAGGCAGAGTGATTGTTGGATTTGCATATTCCTGAATAAATTATATTTCATTTCTGAGATAAGCAGTGCACTACTGTTTGGTAGCTTTTCCTCCTCCTTCTCTTCTGCCTCCTCTCTACGCCATTCACGCTTGCTGCCACGAATTAACCCTGATCATGAGGGACCGTGGCGAGTAAGAAAGTGCTGCTCAAAATTCATGTTTTCGGCGGAAGGAAAATCATGCCATTGGCCCCCGGTGGGGCCCAGACTGCCAACTACGTGTATGGTTAATCAGGGCTGATAATGATTCATGCCCATGTCTGCCACCAAGGAGAAGGATGGGAGCCACGCTTAGTGGTGTGAGATGGGGCTAGAAAGCCGGGGAGGAGAGGAGGTGGAGATTAAAGAGGCTGAAGCTACAGTTGGAGATGGAGGTGGAGAAGAGAAATGGGAAGATAAGGACAGTAGTGGAGAGGAGGCGGCTCCCAAAGACGAGTCCGTGAAGGAAGGCAACGAAGGAATGCAAAAGAAGTCTAATCCGCTGGATTAGGCTGTTTAATGTGGGAGCAAATCACTATTTCATGTGTGTGTGTGTGTGTGTGTGTGTATATGTATGCAACCAGACCAGCATATGGACATGTGTGCATATCCACAAAACTGTGTCTAGTGGGCCTGGGTGAATGAGGTTCTTCATATGAACACATCTACAGACTGTAACCCGTTTTTAATTACAGCCCTGGCATGCTGAAGAAGCGACCACGAGGGAAGAAAATAAAGAAACCTTCCATTAAACCACATGTAGGTCCAACACCCCCCTCAATCCGTTCAGCTGATGGCTGCTTTTTTATTTCTCCCCCTAATTCCTCTCACTTCCTTGGGAGAATTGGGCTGGTGGTATTTTGGCTGTGAAAAGGAAACCATCGGACGGCAGGGGCATGAATATTCCAAATGACTAATGTTGCACATGCTTATTTTTGACATATCTGGCTTCCGCAGGGAAATAAAACACTTCTAATGCAGGGGGACCATCTGTTATCTGTTGCTGGTGTTTCAGAGCAGGCGGATTCGGTGCTCGCTCTTGTGCGTGCGCGCGCACACACACACACACATTAAGGATACACACAGGCATGCAGGAACACGGGCAGACAGATCGACATGTTCTCACGCAGCGGGAGATGTGTCGTACGTAGCCGGTACGACACATGCGCACACACACGTACTAACAGCAGAATCCGTCGGGAGCATGCACAACAGACGCGCTCTAAACTCCTATACAAATTGAACACTCCTTTTTTCCCCCTTTTTTTCTTTCATTCAGTGTGTTTGTCAAATGCACTGTAAATCACGGGGTGTAGGTGACTGGGAATGCACACAATTTTTATACTGGCCATAAATACTCTGGCCTGTCTCTTCTCTGCAGCTGGAGCAGGATAATATGCTGGCAGTGTAAAGGGGGGGGAGGATAGACTAGATGCACTAGATTCTCTCTTAGATTGGTTTGAAACTGTGGTCAAAGTAATAGTTGCAAGAGGTATAGTAAACAAAGCTCTTGCATGCATGGATTACCTGTTTGTTATTTTCAGAAAATAGCTTCTGGGAGTGCCATAATACCCCTGTTCAGGCAATAAGGCGTTCTGGATAGCTAGATTTGCCTCAACAATATGTGATGTGTTTGAAAAGAGTCCACAGCACAGCTAACAGTGCAAAGATTTTAGATAAAGTGCAAAATAACCACTGAAATAATTAAATTGTATCACAGATATTGTTAAAGGTAACCTGGATTTTTTTATTTAAATAAAATAAATATGTTACAAACAGTAACATAATAAAGAAATGCATATATATTCTATACTGTATATAAATGATGGCAGGACCCCCATTGCTGTCACCTATTAATCTGTCCTGTTGGGGGCGCTGTGTAAGACACTCAGACCTATGCTATGATTGTTTTGTTTTTTGAAACCATATTGGAGTCCATGCTGTTATCACATAACGCCTCTTAGCTTTATTAACAAGATGCACCACACAGACACAGATACCTGCTAATTAGTGTGAAGATATTAATTAAATTTAAACTAAAATTTCACTCCTGTGCAGGCTGTTAGTAGAATTAACCACAAGTTTATTTTTAAATTGGTAGAACAAAAAGATGTTTGCAGGATGGGTTAGCAAAGCGCAATTATGTCATAGACACAGGCAATATTAACTACATCATTACCAGACATTATCTGGGCTTCCTTATTAGTAACTCATCTATACTACAAGCCTCTGAAACTGATCACTTCCTTCTTTCTATACAAAGACGTGACAGACAGAGTGTTATTCTCCATATATGAAGCTTTGTGGAGTTACTGCTTACAGTCCACTAAATACCCTGACGTAAATGAAGGCCTTGTTTGTCTTGTGAGGTGCATTTGTATTGTCTGCGATCGCTGCTGTTGTGTGCTCCTCATTGTTTGCAGTGTTTGACATAAAACTGATAAATATTGGGGGCTTAGTTCTGACGCTATTTGGACTCCCACACCTGGTTCAGCTTTAGAAGGATTTTAATTGGCTGTGCATCACTGCTGTAATGTTACACTCTCACCCCTGGTGGAAGTTTGCGATTGGTGATCCCGCGTTTTTGTGTTTTGTCTGATTAAAATCCGGTTGAAGGTTTGTGTGCTCCTATCGAGCTGTTATGAAGTTGACAATTAGATACAGACAGCACAACGCTTCTTTTTTTTTCTACCAGGGCACAAACATCCTGACTTCTGCTCTGAAGTCGGCAATTTTAACAAGAGCGTCAAGAGTGGGAGTTGACTCATTTTTGGAGCCGACTTTAAGTGCCTGTTTTTTATTTTTGACACTTCCACATCGGCCTCATTTAGCCACAGATTCTATCACCATTTATAAAACGTACCAATCGTGACGTTTTCGGCTACAGACATAGACCGATTTCGGTTAAAGCTACTGAAATGCTTACACACATTTGGCTTCCAAGCAAATCACAACCAAACAGAAAAAAATATATATATTTTTGTCTTTGAAGAATGTGGTTATTATGAATTTTCCAGAGCACACCATGATCTTTTTTAAATGCTTAGTTTTTAAATGTACTTTAACAAGTGTGTAACGCTGTAAAAACAAGTGCAAAGTGCAGGCTTTTATTATATGCACTGTTGAAACACATTTTAATATACTTGACATAAATTTGAGCCTAATTACTTTATTTATGTGGCTACAGTACATGTGTATTATTCATCTCACTGTTTAGGCAATTTATTTTAATGTTTAGTCAAAAATATATAGTGAAAAAAAATAATATTTTTTTAACCCTAGGACACTATCGCCAGGTGATTTTCACCCGAGCAAATATATTTGATTTTCAATATGTTGTATTTGTCTGTGTCATGGGTCCTTGTGTAGCTTCAGCATTGTCTTTGACATCTTTGAAGGCGTGGGTGTTTCCCTAACCCAAAGCCCACTTTCTCCTACAGGCATGTGTTCGGGTGATTTTTACCTGGCAATAGTGATAGAGGGTGAAGTAGGGTTTGGGTGGATTTCACCCAGTGATAGTGTTAGTGTATAAAATCAGGTGATCTTGCCGCATCTCAAGTCCTGATCTGTAGCGTGCTTGACATCCCTACCGCGGCACGCTTGCAGGTGGCAGGACCAGTGGCAGCAGAAAGCAGTAGTCCCTTAGGGAGGTGCGCTGACTGCCCTGCAGGACTGGACAGGAAGTGTGTCCACGCCATTACTACCCTGCGTCTATTTACTGCATGTAAGGAATAGGTAAGTAAGAGTGGTCCTGGAATGTGCATGTTATACTTATATAGTTCAGTGATTATGACAAAATATCACAAAGTGGTGATTTCCAGGGGAATTCATATGATGAAAAAAATATTTTAGTCAACTGGTCATTTTTACACACCAAAAAGTGCAATTTTTATGTTTCCCTCTCCTGCAGCTGTTCGTGTGTCGAGGAGACTGTGCTCAAATGTCCCAGGAATGGGTGGACCAAAGACCAACTTTCCAGTGTCATTGTTTTTTTTGTTTAGGATTTTTTTTTTTGTCGAATTCCTAATATTTCAGTAATTTTGGAGCATTTTTTAGGCCCCCCATGACACTTCTTCTTCATTTTGTTAGACATGGCACAGTTGAAAATAAAAGAAACTCCAATTTGTCATGTGTTGTCAGATTTTGATATATTTTGATGCCAAGTACTTTTTGGGTATATTATATTGGGTAAAAATCACCCGGCGTTAGTAATGGTGTTACTATTTATAGCGATAGTGTTCTAGGGTTAAATGAATGCTTATTCAGGTCAGTTTTATTTTGACTTATTTGTAAGTGATCCAGTCATCTGAAAAGTGTCTCCTCTCCGTTAGTCGAGCCCTTTTTACCATGAACAAGTATCTATGATTGCACCTTAATTTCAGGGAAGCTGTGCAAATCCTCTAAACACAATGCAATTACACACACCCTGTAGTTGATCCATTGTGGATACATTGTTAAAATAGCATCGCATTAATTAAAATAGGCCAACAAACCTGTCAGCTCTTGTGTGGAGGGTAAAAATCTAACAAAAAAAGAGATTAATGTATTCTGAGAAATCAACTCATAAGCATGTGCAGCACTGAGAGGCTTGCTACGAACATTATCTTGTGGCTACTTTGTGGTGAATCTTTAAAAGAGGGGTTTTAAATTGGGAGGGGAGGGGGCAAGGTCACTAGAGCAGTGGTAAGGTTTAATAACTCACCTTTGTCAGCTGCCTTTAAGTGAGGATCTTCACTGGAAAGACTGCCAGGAGCACCCTGCGTGTCTTTGATCTACAAGCACATAATGGAAGCAGAGAGGGGAGAGAAAACAAGGTCAAAGATCTGCACACTTGTGAGACCTTGGGTATCACCTGCGTTAATGTATAAAGCGACAACAAAGGCACCCGTGGATGTGTGCGTGTGTGAGTGTGTAAGACATGAGAGGCAATTTTTTTTTCTTTTTTTAAGATCATTTCAACTCAGGTCCATGACTCTAATATACACCTCCCACCAGAGAGAGGAGACACTTGATGTTTTAAAATACATGGTTCCTCTCTGTGCTCAAAGAGGCTCCCGGGAGCTTCTGAAAGACAGTTTAATGATGAAAGACAACATGTCTGGATGCAAGTGTTCGCTTTCAGATCGCAGGGGAAAAACAGGAAAAGGCCAAAACAATTTTGGGTCTTTAATTTTCTTTTAAAAGATGCCACGTTCATTTCTAAAGATTCAAACCGCGTTGAGGAGCCTCACCTCACGCAAGGTAGGTGTAGATACAGTAATCGCCTAATCCCTCCCAGAATAAATATTTTTGGAGTATTAAGCTGTGGCAGCAAAACATATGAAAAATATGAAATCTCAAAATATTTATGTTTATTTGTAGCTGGGAATCTACCTGAGGTTAGGAAATGTGGATTATTTCAGTCGAGCTGTATTCTGATGTTGATGCTTGTAGGCATTCTGTATTAAAAAGAACATTTTGCAAAACATGCACTCTTTCTGGAGCTATCATGATGTTGAGGAGGACTAAATATGACAAGATTCCCACATATGGGACGGAGGAAATATAGGTCTGATTTGATGACTTGTCGCATGCTGCATGCTGTCACATTGTTTTCTTTCACTGGAAACCAGACTGTAAACTCAACTGTGCGAGTGAGAGGCGTTGCCAAATGCAATGTGACTCACCACCTCTGAGGAGAACAAAAACCTGCTTAAGATCACTGTGACATCGCATGCAGTGTTTGCAGTTCTGAATATTTTTGACAGATTGGACTGAATACAAATGTGAAAATTGTCATGCAAGAAAGGGGAAAAAAAAAAACCTTAAGAGAACATGTCACTGAGTAACTCTGTTTGACAAGCATTTTAAAGAAACAACACACAACGTTACTCCCATGAAGCTTTGTGAGCTCAGGTTCTGAAATCTTCAAATCTGCGAGGGAATTTGTACTGAACCTATTCGATTGAAATTATGCTATTTCATGTGTTAGAAATCAGCAGGGATAGCATAAAGCAGGATCCACAGACGCAGGAACCTGTATTTTGAAGCCTTGATAACAGCTTTCATCCCACTGCCATCTTTTTTTTTTGTTAGAGCCAAAAGTGACCATATTCTGAGAATATGTTGGAGTGCTAAATTATTTGCTAATGCTTGTGACCTTGGTTAACAAGGTATGGCTTAAGACATAGATCCCTGCTTATTGCATTTCAGCTACTCCTTTCTTATCACAGCAGATAACTCCACATGTTTGATTTAGCAGACTTTTACACAGACACCCTTCCCAAAAGAAGGTTTGGAATTGAACCAGCAGCCTTTCACTTGCCAAGATTAAGTGTTAGCTACTACACCACAGCAAGTGACTGCATTTAAAGAATGTTCCAAACAGGACATTTATTAAAAAAGGAAAAAAAATACAATAGCCTGTACAATACAAATACAATATAGACACAAACATCAATGAGCAACACCTGCACTGGTTAGAAATGTGTTAGCACAGTTAGCACTGCGTTAGCACAATTAGCACTGTAGCTTTACTGTCGCTAGCAGGTTCTGGGTTTGAATCTTCTGACTGGCAGGGCCTTTCTGCGTGGAGTTTGCATGTTCTCCCCTGCACGGGTTTAGTCTGGCATAGCTAAAGCCCCGCCCCCACAGACCAGTCCAAGCACATGCATATTAGGCTAACTGCTAATTGTGCTATGATGTCAACTATGATGACAACTCGTAGGCTAATGAGTGTGCCGTTTCACACCACACATAATCTTTCATTCAATCAATCCTTCAATCCTTCAAACAACTTTTCGATTAAATGACCTGACATGATCGACCGATTTCATAAACTCAGCGGGTTTGTATCAACTCAGAAAACAGTTTCACCATCGACTTCTAAAGGACCGGAAGTATTTTTGTAACCACAGCTATCACCATCTGGTGGCCTTTAGACAGAATTCAGGGAGGATTTTAGACACTTCTGCATTAGCATCTATGGACAATATGGACCCATCCCCTGACGCTAAACTTAATAAGCAGTCAACAAACCTGAAAACAGATGGATTAAAACCATTTATTCTACCTTGCTATATTTTGAGTATTTTATTGTGCGTTTTCAGAGTCAGCCTCTAGTACCTTTTCGATGAACTGCAGTTCTGGTCACACATTTCCTTCTTTTTTAAGCCTCTGAGCTGTCAAACCGTGAACATACAAATGCCAGTACAAAAGGAAAAATACAAAAAACAAACCTATAGAAATGATAATAAAAAAAACACAAGGTCAGCCAAGTAGTAGCTCACCCAACTCAACATGAAATGACAAACACAACACTGATGTTGAGCACACTTTGAATTAGGTAACCATTGTGTGCACATTTGATTAAAGTCTGACCAATAAATTTGAACTTTGGACGGACAGGTCGATGGATGGACCAGTCATTTGACTGGAAGTGCTAAAAATCTACAAATCCCAATGAAGTTTATCTGTGTTTCAAGGACACAGGAGCTGATGCATTTATTATCAACACATTTACAGCTCACTAAACAGGTTACTCATTAAAGTTTTCTCATTATGCTAACAGAAAACATAATTCAAGCACTATTATGTTGTTTTTAGTTGCATACAAATGCAATTTCTAAAGAGTAACAGTTGAAAACACAAACTAGCTGCTTTAAATTATTAATTCTTCTTCGTTCACCTTTTTTCACTCCCTGTGTGTTTATGCACCACTCTGCATTTAATTATGAATTATTATTAATCTCTTGGTCTCTCCCACAGCGTGTCTTTTGTCCTGTCTCCCTCCCCTCACCACTAACCTGTCTCAGCAGATGTCTGCCCCTCCCAGAGCCTGGTTCTGCCAGAGGTTTCTTCCCGTTGAAAGGAAGTTTTTCCTTCCTACTGTCACCAAATGCTTGCTCATATGGGTCGTCTGACTGTTTCAGTTTTCTCTGTATTATTGTAGGGTCTTAATGCCTTAAGGTGACCGCTGTTGTGATTTGGTGTTATCTAAATAAACTGGAATTTAATTTCTTATAATGGTTCAGTATACAAAAAGTGAGGAGAGCTTAAATTTTAGAATCGCAATACAAAACATGTTGGCTAGTTATCACAATTAAATATTATGTGGGGACAAAAATAATTGATGCTAGCTTGCTAATATGCAGTATGCAATGTAAATAACATAACATACTGTGCTAGTCAGTAACTTGGTCTAGATGACCAGTGAATATATCCATGTATGCTTTATTTTTTATTGAATATATAAAATATATTTCAATCCTTTATCCTTTTTTCATTCATTTAAAACTCCAGCTTGTATTGCGGAGTTATAAGTAGATACAGTATCTTCGTGACAATGGTCAAGGTTCGCCTAACCACAAAGACCTCAACAAGACAAGCTTCCTGCACGTAATGTGGTACTACCACAGGCAGAAATGATGGAAGCATCACTTCAAGTGCAGTCTTCTTATTCTACCTATCTCTTCACATCCACATCATTCTCCAGTTGTTTGTGTCTGAGAGTGAGACACTGGCAGAGTAAAGCCTTCAAGCAGCCAAATACGCTGCTCTCAGAAATCAGCCGGCACAAGAAAACAGAGACTTGCTCTTGAAAACTGTCTGCCTTTGAAGGATCTTTATTCTCCGCTCCCCAGCTGCTGGAGATGCGTGTAACTGCTTAGACATACAATGGGTGCATCGCGGGTATTTGTCCACGGAGAGCTGGGCCCAGTAAATGAAAAGACGGGCACACATACCCAGGAAGCAGCTAATTAATTGACAAGCAGATATTTCGGAATTTATAATCATCAAACAGACTTCATTTTGTTCCCCCACCACCATCCTCGCCAACCCGTTATCCCAGGCGACTTACTTAAGAGACTTATCTTATAAATACAGCCCTAATCAAAATAAATGACTAAAAGCTCTGAGGGAGTTGAAGGCTATACACATTTACATCAGAGGAACTGATGCAATTTAAACAGCCGCCTCAGCACCGCTGAGTTAGGTTCAAATCACAGAGAATCCTAACTTATGTAATACTTCCACTGTTTTTTCTTTTCTTTTCTTTTTTTTTGGTTGTTGTTGTTGCTCAGTTTGGCAGACCTATATTCATGACAGCCAACTAGGAGAGACAGAGCCTCCCTCTATGTGTGTGTTACACTGAATTCCCACAGCAGCATTCGTGCGCTGTGAGTGTATCATATTATAACGATTTTTTTTCTCACATGCTTTTGTGTCTATTTGACTTCACCGTGTGTGTGTGTGTGCTCGGTGCACATCTGTGGGATTGCCCATCTCTCAGCATTGGTTCAATGCTTAATATTCTTCCTTCTGTTTCCTACCGGGTATACATTTCTTGTAAAATGTAGCAGTGAGAGCGTTTTAACAGCCAGTGGCTTACAGGATCATTTACAGCTGGTCATTGACTGTCTGGCTGAGAAGCAGAGTGGCTGATGGATAGATTGTCAAAGTTTCACCTCGGTCCAAGTTTTGATGGATATGTTATAGCCACAAAGCCCAATATAACAGACTGCACAGACTGTGAAGCCGCAACTCACCGAGTATAAAAGCCCAACAGCTTTCTGTTGATTTAAAGGGAAGCTGTTAGAGAAATTTAATACACCAGCTTCATCTGTACCGAAGTCATGTTTAGGATTAATGTGGAGACAGCAGTGTTTATGACACGACGTGTATCTTTGCACAGGAACCGAGGGGCAACGGCTCAGTGTTTGCACAGCGCAGAGAAGCTCCTCTGCCTCGTGACACTGTTGATAACACAAAGTGAACATGACTGCGGCATTTG